CAATGTTTAACAACATTTTTGGCTTGCAGATTATTTGGGTCCAAACCCTGTGTTGGCAGAACCACCTGCATAGCTACCCTCTAAGAAGGGCTTTACCAGCCATGGTTTGATTTGATGCAACCCCAGATCCTAGGGCTTGCAGGTGACATGCTTGTGTTGCCTTTCTCCTACATGCTCCTACCGATGAAGCTCTACCTACACGGTTTGATTCATCAGGATGAGGTGCCTTGATTCACATGGTAAGCTGAATTAACTCTTTTGACTTACACAGAAGTAAAACTAGAGCAAGCAGAAACTGAAAAGACACAAAAATCTACAAGAAATGAAAATTTACATGGATTAGACAGGAAAAAAAGTGTGCTTTCCCCTGCGAGCCCTGAACTTACTACATTTTTATGCATATTAATGTAATCAAAGTAAGTATTTTCAAGAGGGATTAACAAATCAGCTTAATAAGGTATTTATTTTTTGTACCATAAAAAATATCAGTTATACAGTAACACTTTGGTGCAGAAGAGTATGCATTCAATAATTACACTAATACAAAGAAAAATATTTAATCTGTTAATGTCTGAATTCAGCAGATTTTTTCCCCTTTTCTATTTAACTAGTTTTCTTCTAGCTGAATAGCTACGGATTTGTTTTTCTTTCTGACACATGCTGTGCAAGACCTGTTTTATAAGAGCAGTACAATGTTGTATTTTAATTTTTCATGTACATGAAGCCCAAATATATCTTATATTTATCATTTATAATAATTGAAACTATAGAGCACCTTTTTTTTTCTGGAAATGCAGCATCAACATATTTTTATTTCCTGCAAGCATATGCCTTTGTTGTGATGTGGCAAAACTACACAATTTCATCCAAGCATGTATTTGGCTTTCCCAGCTCTATTCTAGTAGAGGTCATGTATCTGTATGTACAGTTTGCCATCATTCTTTCCAGTACTGAGTTTCCTTTGATCACTGTCACATTTGCTGGTTTCTTGAAAATTTAGGACCAGGATGGCAAAATCACCAAGTCCAGCCTCTGTTATTATAGGCAACTGAATAATATTTTTCATTAAGCACTTAAAATTTGCCTTGCATCACATTATTAATTACAACCGTACATTGGGATACATTCTCTCTGGGCTATTCTGTAGCTTTGAGTGGATTTGCATGACACTAAAAACATCGCTTAGAATGTTACCTGTACTTACACTATGACTGGATAGAAGGAAGAAGTTCTTTACTGTGAGGGTGGTGAGGCACTGGAATGGGTTGCCCAAGGAAGTTGTGAATGCTCCCTCCCTTGCAGTGGTCAAAGCCAGGTTGGACAGAGCCTTGGGTGACATGGTTTAGTGTGAGGTGTCCCTGCCCATGGTAGGGGGTTTGGAACTAGATGATCGTAAGGTTCTTTCCAACCCTAACTATTCTATGATTCTATTACTAGTTAAGAAAATACTACCTAATGAAAGAATTACGGGTCAGTGCCATGCCCCGAATTAGGCAAGACCTGCTTTGAAGCTCTCACAATACATTGCTGCATCCAATGAATTAATTTACCAATTTAAAACAAACGTCTCCTTGGTAAAACCTGAAATTTGAGTCTTCTCCATTTTCTTTTCCATTTCTTTTTTCTCTTTGGACTGTCCTAGGCCATGATTTTTTTTAGCTTGTACAGTAAATTTGAACCCCTTTGCAGGCTGTAAGGGCAATTCCAGCATGATGTTTACAATTATAAAAACTCTGGAAGATTGACTGATGCTGATGAATGGGCAAATCATCACGTGAAACAGATTCTGCCACTATTATCTTATAATGGTATACAAATGTAGACATAACCTCAAAGGAGATTTTGAAACTTTCAGAAATGTAACATTAAACTTAAACTGATTATGAAGGAGCCTGAACACCTCACTGATTCCTAAGTAAAAACATAGCCATAAATTGCATGATGCTCAAATCAGAGTTTCATCTAGCTCCAAATGTTTACTAATCTATAAATAATCACAGAATCATAAAATTGTCCAAGTTGGAAGAGACCTTTAAGGGTCATTTAGTCCAACCCCCCTGTAACAAGCAGGAATATCTTCAACTATATCTGGTTGCTCAGAGCCTAACCCAGCTTTTAACGTCTCCAGGGATAGGGCATCTACCACCTCCCTGGGCAACCTGTTCCAGTGTTTCACCACCCTCATAGCAAAAAATTTCTTCCTTGTATCTAGCCTTAATTTCCCTTCTTTTATGTTAAAACCATTACCCCTCGTCCTATCACAACAGGCCCTGCTAAATGTTTGTCCTCATCTTTCTTATAAGCGCCCTTTAAGTACTGAAAGGCCACAATAAGGCCTCCCCAGAGCCTTCTCCTCTCCAGACTGAACAACCTCAACTCTCTAATGACTGGGTGCATATACCACAAAAGCTTGTATTATTTCACTGACATCAGTCTGACTATACCTTTACTTAGGTATACTACACAGCTCTCCCAAAACACTGGTGTATGAGTCACATACCAGAGCGCATTTTACAGTACGTTTTAGAAGTGCTGTGAAGATTAGAAAAAGCAGAGGAGGAAAGGGCTTGCTGTCTTGCTTCCAGTCCTATTGTATGTACTTACACAACTGGAGATATCTATGCCCTGAATTCTACAGTTGGAATGTTCTGCCAGTCATGACTCAAACAGATGCTGGAAAGCCAGAGACAAGTTTTTAAAAGTGAGTAAAAGCCCAAAAGCCACAGTAGCACATCCTAGTAGAGATTTCTGATAGTAACTGACTCCATCAGAGAAAACCATCACAGGGAACTATGGTTGAAACCAGGAGGAAGCCAAGCCACACACCAGTCACAAACAAGGAAAAGATTACCAAAGTATGTAATGAAGCACCCATCACTTCAGAGCAGGTATCTTTCTAAGCAGTATGCTGTAGTTGAAATAGAATAAATAAGCTTCATACAAAAATTGAGTAGGCAAGACTCCTCAGTCTTATTATGAAGGTGAAGATGATCATACTAGTTTATTAAATGCTGACCCTATTTAAATTAGGCAGGTTTTTTTAAATTCATGGGTCAAGCCTATAAATTCAAGAAACCCAAGGAGAACATTAATTTTTATTTTTTATATATAAAATATATATATATTAATTTATATTTCACCTAAATCTAGAATAACATCTCTTTTATGTTTCTAGACTCTAATCTTCTTATGTTTGGAGATTGCTAACACGTAAAACATTAAGTATACTCTTCATGTAGGTCCAGCAAGTTATAGCATGAGAGACTTTTAAATTCTTGTTATCAGAATGAGAGATGGGGTCTGTTTTTAAATCACCTATTAAAAAACAGGTATATGGTTTTCAGAGCAGCTCAACCAGGTGAAGCAGAGTGGAAATCCAAGGTGCAACATAAGGACCAGCATCCACAAGAGATGACACACTTCATACTCGCCTCAGCACTGAGCACTGCTGACAAGTAAGACATGATACTAACCACAGCACTGGTTACATGAGAATACCTGTTTGAGGCACACCAAGGGGTCAGGTAGCCTGCTGTCTTGCCCCTTGTCAAAAGTGTAGGAAGAAGGCACATGCTTACTACACACTGCTAGCCTCTTGCAGTGCACCATAGTATTTTCTGGGTCAGTCTTTAATAGCAGTCAATGAATTCTCTGCAGTTTTTCAATTCCTTTTTGACCAAGTAACTTTGTGAGTGAGTGGCTTCAAACATCAAGTAATACATACAGAAAACTTTACGCGGAAGGGCTGTTACAAGGATTTGGGGATTATCATTTTGCATGCTATAGTATTTATGTTTGGCAGATTTTCCTCTCTGAGAAAGGGACATAAAATTAAAGCAAAAACTGTAAAATGTTACCTGCTCCACCCTGAAGGTCCTTCAAACAGGTGGTGTTTCACATCACATCTAATGGCTTTCTTATACATACTGCATGATTATCTTTCACGCATGAGGTTGCATCATTATTTTAAGTCCCCCATCAACAATCTCCAAGATCTAAACTCATCCATATACCCGCACATACACACACAATGGTCGCCCTATCACAGTCCAGCAGTTTTAAAATATTAAAAACGTCATCTACCTCCAGATGTATCAAGCAGCAATACAGGCTCATAAAATAATAATGCTTCTTATTTTTTGATTACTGGCAGGCACCGGGCATAGCAGGAAGAAGGTGACTTAGCAAAGACATTCAGACACTTCTCCCCAAAGGCACGGCAACCTCAAGGGTCAAAAGCAACACCCTCCTACCAAAGCATGAGCTGGTGCTCACTTATGCCATTAAACCACCACAGAATTAGGGAGAGAATAAAAAATGGTTAAATCAGGAATTTTACAGGCACAGAAAAGTGACTCTGGAAGCTAAATGAGAATGTTTCGGTTAAAAATTGTATTTATTGCTGTAGCTGTTTCTGACAAACCTAGCTATAAAGAATATTGTAAAACAAACTCCAATGGTTTGGCAGTTCATTGATTAGCAGTATTTATTGTATATGTCACTAATGGCACTGACACTGTGGAAGCCTGGGTCCTATAGCATCACATTCTATCAGAAACACTACACAATCATTTCAGTAGACTATATTTGCAGCAGACACAGCTGCTTTACTTTTGTAATGCCAGCAATTACATTTATCTTTGTTTTCACACATTACATCTTTAGGACAGCTAGGGAAAAACCAATTGCTCACGAGACAAAATTTGTTGGGGGGGCGTTTTGTTTTCTATTGGGTTGTTGTTTTAAGAATCGTGCTGTGCATTTCAAAATATTTTCTTTCTTTAAAGAAAGGAAACAGATACAATGGGTTTCTTAAATCTTTTTTGGCAATATTCTTCATGTTAATTGAGACAATGTTCACATGGCACATATATGAATGCTACAAGCAACTCACTATAGTTCAAAGACAACTTACTTGTTTTCATTGACTGGGTATACTTCATTATGGCAACCGATTTTGAGAAAGTGTAATAACAAATACCATGGGTTTGGGTTTTGTTGTGGTTTGGTTTTTTTTAAAGAAAAACCAAACCACAACACAGAGGCCACAGCAGTTACAGTAAAACTTCAGCCTGTTATGATTTGTTTTCCTCTAAAAGTACAGAGATGAACATCAACAAAAGAATCAACGGAAACTAAACACATTGCACAAACAGTCAAAACACAGAAGCCAACCCGCTGGCTCTAGAGAGAAGAAGAATTCAAGCTACTCCAATGAAAGTAAATGGCACTTGTCAGTCAAATTTGGCATGACTGGGTCTCATTCTGCTTCGTCTTTCTGCCCTTCCGCTTCACACTTCACATTTCCCTTCTTCACTCTGGGAACGGCTGCCGCAGAGTTTTGCTTCCTAGGACCGTGGACTGAAGGGGCTGCAGTTTGTAACCCCCACGGGCTTGCGCCGAGGGGACCTTCTCTGTAGGTGGTAGGAGGGCTGCAGTGTAGGGGTCTCTGGCAGTGCAACATGGTAGAAGTTTGGTAACCGAATGTCATACCTAAAGCCTTTCCCCATGTGCACTCTGTCATTCAAGGCATAGAGTTTTTCAGCAATGTCTCTCCCAATTAAAATTGAGAACAGGCGGGAGATGAAACGGTGTTTAGCGAACAGCAGATACAGCTTCTTTCTCCTCCAGGCCACGTACCGACAATCTGTCTCTGCTGTAAGAGTTACCTATGGGAAAGGAAATTAAAATTAGCTAAGAGGGAAGGCAGTGACATTGCCGCTGCTGCTCCTGCTCAGACAGCACCATTCTCCCAACAGGCTGTCCCCGTACACTGCATACACTTCGTGTCTTTGTGCCTACTGTAATTAAAGCCATGTAATCCAGCCAGAGAGCTCTCTAAGGTCTACTGTATGCAAAGGACAAGTGAGAAGGGTCATCGGGAATGTACAAAATGATTGTGCCTTGTCGGTCTCAGTGACAGTATGCTTATGCAAACACTGAAGGGCAGCCCCAGCCAGGATACCCCAGCCTTGGCCCAGCATTCCCTGCTTTGCTCTTGACAGCCCCAGCTGCAAAGGCAGGTCTAAAGAAAGCTCTCAGTAAATGCCATTTGCCTTCATGACATGAGACATCAGATCCCACACAGGCAGGAGCTCATGTGTCAGTCAAGTGGCAGCACTGGAAAGGCTAATGGATCAGAGAGGCAGTCTGGATGGACACCGAGTCCCGGGCTGTATCCCCATGCCAAGCTGTATCACAGCCATGTCTCTCCCAGCCCACACTCTTGGGTTCACCTTTCATAGGGAAGCCTTTTCAGCACCAACTTGCACCCACCTCCTGCAAACCTGGTTTTCCAGGGCTGGATTTTAGCACAGCCAAAGAATGCAAACAGCGTCTACCTCCCATATTAGCTCTAAGGAAAAGACAATTCTTTGTAACAAAAGATGCAAACAGAAAGAAGAAGCAAACAGCACAACCAGTCCAGCAGGTAAGGCAAGGACCTCCCTCCCCAAATTAATGTAATGCCACTTGTTTGTCTATTTTCACAAATGAAGCCCCCAGCTAAGTGAACTTATTTCTAAACCAATTAGTACTTGAACAGTTTTCTGTAGTATTAAAGAAACCCAACAAACCCTCCACTTTTACCTGGAAAATTCCCTCTTCTGTGGGCCTCAGGGAATCCCATTCAGGAGAATCCAGAAATTGAAGAGGAAAAATGTAATGCAGAAACTCCCCATCAACTGTCACTCTGATCCTACCAAGATAAGATGTGTTAATTTGTTAGTACTACTTGTACAGCAGCAATGACTGCAACAAGAGTGTGCTATTTCTACTACGTGAGGAGTTTAAATATAGCTTTGAGAGCATGAAAAAGCAATCACTGTACAACAGGATCCAAATTATATTTCTGAATCCAACTTGATCAGGCCAGTTGAAAGTGAATGTAAGACAATCGTGCAACTGAGACGGAAATCTTTCCAGGCCTTATTAAGTCATATCATTATTCCCTCTAGGGCAGGTCTGTGCAGTGATGTGCAAGCTTTGTCAGGAAAAGGCCAGCATGCACTGGAGAGGTGAGAGACCAATGTACACAAGACCATGCGCCTCCTTTACTTGCAAGCCATGGGATATGCTTCTAGGTTTGGTAAATATGTGTTTTAGAGGGAACAAAGTGGCAAAAGCAGAAAGTGGGAAGCAAGAGTTCCCCGTAGCATTAAGTATGGTGCTCTCAATGTTTTACAGGAATTACATGACCACAGGACTGCCTCTGGAGTCAGGAGAACAGCATGGATGTACAGGATCTCTGTGAGAATGCCGTGGCCTTCTGCAGATGCCAAAGCAGAATTTACTTTCTGCTTTTAAAATCATACTTATGTTTGAAGGCACACAAGCAGGAAAAAGATGTTAAACCTCATAAGCTAAAAGAAAAAAAAAGCAAGCTGTAGGAATACTGGTTTTACATCTGGTTGTCACAGAAGTTAATGCTTGTTACAATATCCGAAGCAGCAGCCCTATACTGCACAAAGGAGGGTAGCAGAAACTCCCTGCATGATTACTAACTGGTTGGGCTTGCAGAAGGATGGACACCTCTCCTTCTGTATGACTATGACTAAAAGCAACGTCCACGTGGTACTTTCCAGCCAGCTCCCAAGAATGCTCTGGAACAGGTTATCACCAAGGACAGCTACCTAAAATCCACACAGTTCATTGCATGTAGTCCTAAATCAGATGAGTTTCAATCTGTCTACAAAATCCATCTGTCCATGCAGCAGGCTGTCAAAATGCATGCATGAAATGTCCCATCAAAGACAAACCATGGCCATCATCTCCAGGTATCCCACCTGCTCTTGTAGTGGTCCAGTACTGTAAACACTTGGTATACCGCTTTGTATACAGTATGAAAGCTAGCACTGCCCTTCAGGAAAGCATAAGCAAGGAAAGGGAAAGCATCAGCAAGGTTGCCAGAAGGGTCTCCAATATGCAGGGAGCAAAAGCAGGTGTATTTATTGCCTCAAGGTCTAACTAAGGGCCACAGTATACAGTAACTGTAGACTCAGTTCTACAAATCTTGATAGGGCTCAGCTACGTTCCTTTGTAATGGAAAGGTGCTTTTAGACTTTCTGCTCTCCCTTACTCCTCTTCTCCCACTACCCATAAAGCAACCAAATACAATCTGTATCAAAGTCAAGATCTCTATCAAAGAGAGTTTACCTCAGTATATCTGGTTTCATAACTACCTTTTACTCCTGTTTCAGAAAGATGCTATGTTCATTAGCTAGGCAGTAGACAGATAGCAAACCACAGCCCGGAGACTGAAGCACATATTTGTTCCCTTTATCTGCCTAACCTGTTAAAAGTACTGTGATACAGTGGTCTGGAAAAGAAAGACTTTAAATCCTTTCCTTTATGCTATTACAGATTTTGTGCTTAGTGGTTTTACTCTAGAATTGTAATAGATGAGTGTATTTAGCATATTAATATTTATATTACTTACATTAATATTTAATCTATTGTACTGGAAAATGAACAAATAATACAGAAACCAGGCTCTTCTTTTTTTTTTTTTTTTTTCTTTCTTTCATTTTTAAGAATTAGGGAAAAATAAAGATGTTTGCAGGAAGTCCAAACAAACCAATACAAACCTGCCTGACACAAGCAAGGACAGTTTATCAATAGGTGTTTTGCCCTGCATGGCATAACAGTGTTCCTTCTCCAGGGTAACTACTTCTGCCTCACAGCACAAGACGATCTTCCTGTAGACAGTTAAGGAAATTCCCAGAGGCTGGAAGAGAGAGCTATAGAGTTCCTGGAATTCTCTGTCAAAGGAAACACTCCGAACTTGGTAGGTAACATAAATGAACTGGACGAAGCATATGGCAAACAGTATAAAATTCCAGGAGAATATATCAGCAGCACAGACATCCAGCCAAGCCCAAATCGAAGAGCAGAGAAAGCCTAATCCAAGTAAGCTGAAGACATAGAGAAGCCCAAAGAATCCACTTCCACCCATGAAGCCCACAACAAAGAGAATACTGGCTAGGTGGTAGATAGATCCCTCTGCCTCTTGCTTCCAGGTGGTACATGTAGGATGTGCATATATCAAACTTTCCCAAAAGCTTGCATTTTCTCCCATGGCTGAAATATTTTTTCGATTCAGCTGAATCTTGGAAATTATTATTTATGAGATGCAGCTAGTGGGGTCCTTTGCTTTTCCATTCTTGCAAACTCTGCTCAATGACCACAAAACATCAGAGTCTCTTTTGGTAGTAAAGTTGTGCTTAGGATTTCCGGCAACAAGGAAGCTAATGTTCTCAGAAGGCAATGCTGTTTCTCATCAGTTCATGCATTGTTTTGACTTTAGCCATGTCACCCGTAGTGTCATCTGATCTGGACAAGTGAAGAAAAGAGGAATTACTTATAAAATTATTTTCATCAATTAAACTCTATCAAAGCTTTTATTGTCTAAAACCACAGACTCTGTTACAATCTTCCAATTCCCCTTTGTGGCCCTGTGATTCCAGGATCAAACCTTAATGTTCTTTCAATTGAAGATCATGTTTCTGTATCCATAAACCCTGTAGCAACAGTAGAACCACCACTGAAAAGCTGTACATCATATCCACAACATCCTGTGACAAACCTTTCCATTGCCTAACTGCTGAGAAGGTAGTTGCATTTGTTCATCCTGAACCTGCTGCCTGCGAGTATCATTTAAGCTCTTGGACATGAATTGACAGTGAACTACTGTTCCTTGTCCACCTCCTCCATCTCACTCTGGATTTCAGTCAAACCACTCTCATAAATGAGTTGAGCAAGGCTGTTCTCTGTCCCTGGAGACAGAAAACTGCATCACCAAACACCACAATAAGGGAAACCCAAGTATCACTGGGGATGGTCTTTTCTATTCCAGGGATGGCAGGCAAAAAGCTGTCATGTATGTGTATGTTATTAGAACATGAAGTAAGTAGTCCTGCAAAATACTACTCAAAGGATACTTACAAAACAATTTTGTAATATTCTAGCTCATATAACTTCACGCCATGGACCACATAATTTTATTGTTCCAATACTGTAAAGTTAAACATCCTATTTGTTTCCATATAACATGCTTCTAAGAATAAAAAGTAAAATTCACAACCAAAAAGCATGAACCCCCCCCAACAAATACATTAAAAAAAATAAAAATAAAAAATCAAAACCAACTTTCTCAGTTTGTCTCTTAAAGTAAAAATGCATGCTTCAATGTGAGATAAGACATGGTCAAAATTGCAAAGCCAGAATTTGTCAGTGGTGTAATCACTGTTGAAACCCATCAAAGCCTTTAACTGCCTGACCCTTTTCCTGGTAGAACATCAGAGGAGCTAAGAAATACCTTGCCATCTAAATTATTAGATTGTCCAGAGTATCAAAGGCTGATTTTGTATTATTTTTTTTTCAACAAAAGCCACATCAGTCAATACTTTAAAATCCTGGTGCACATTCAGCAAGGCTTTCAGCGGTGGTTTTTCTACAGAGGCAGGTCTAAGAAATTAATAGTGCAAAGTCGCATCACATTTCCTAGATGGTACAGCTTTACTTCTTTTAAGTTTACTCAAGCCCCAACATGAACTCCATGATTCAAGCCCACTAATGCTAAATAGAGACATAAAATCCTAAACAAATGAGCAGCAAAGTTCAGAAGTAAAGTTAGGAAGAGAGCTCTTCCCCTCTGGGGGTGGTGATAAGGAAGTCACTGACCCACAAAAACATCACATTTGAAGAGCACAGAATCTCTTCAAATTGAAAGACTTGACATCTTACTGCAGCGGAAGAGCAGGCATTACAAGGACGATGTATTTTGTAATTATAAGCTTTTGTGTTTGTCTCTTTACCCAAATACTCTTCTCTGGTACAGGATTCCCCCCAAATACAGGATTTAGCCCTAGGAGAATGGGAGATGAGAACTGAAGCAGCTACAAAGAAGTAACCTTGGAATGGTAAAAGCATGAGGAATTTTAGGTGGTACTTTGGTGATCAAGGGCTAAGATTTCTGAACTAGAAAACAATAAAACAAACATGCAGTTCCCAGACCTTGTGCTCTGAATCCAGTCACCATTTCCATTGCACAGTCAAACATCAGTGGCATAGGTCTTTTGCTGGATTGTTATTTTAAATAGAATCATTGGTAAGACTGAGTTTGTACTATTGTTAACACTTCTACTCTATTGCCAAGGTTTTTCTCCGAACAGTTCTCATGAAGACCTTAATTCCTACCAAAAAAAAAATATCAGTGTTTTGAATGGAACCACAACTGAGAAGTTACATGGAAAGCCATATGCATGCAACAAACAAAACAACCATGACTCCGTACTGTAATCTACTTTCCATTACCAATGTCTTTTTGTCATGTAAAGTCACACACTGCAATTACGCGATATGAAGCTGCAATAATTTCACAGAATATATGTTCAATTTCCAATTTGCTCATAGCATTCGCAGTCTGCCCACACTACAGCTCACAGCACTGCAGTAAAACACCTATTCATGACAAAATGGGTCAAGATAATTTGAAAAGAACAGCATATGACTAGGACACAGATAGCCAGCCATAGTACATAAAACCAAAGGTGTTGGAAAACTGTCCTGTATTTGTAACTGTTCATTTTGGAATTGAACCTGCCTTCCAAAGCCACTGTATACAAAATTCCTACTTATATCTGCACACTGAGAACTTCTACTTGTGCTACAACATCACCCAGGCTGGAGATGGCCTCCCTCCATCTGAGCAGATGGAAGGGCAAAGGAGGGAGGCTGATGCCAGCACAGAATACAGCCTCTCCAACAAGACACTCTCCTGAGCTACGCAAGGTGTGCAGGCAGGAAAAAAAACCCTCTGGAAATAATGATGAAGCCTGCTTCTAAATGGAGCTGTTTTCTCAGGGCTACAGTGAAGAGCGGGCATGCATGCTTGCTGTCAGTGGATTACAGGCAGGCAGAGAGAATTCACCTCATTTTAATCAATAAATTAGTCTATGATTTGGGAGCTAGAAACTGTTAGTAGTTTGTTTGGGTTTGTGGTTTGTTTTTTTTTTATGAAGTATTAGAGCAAAGACCATAGTATGTATAGGCCTAAGTATAGTAACATTTATAATTCTGTTGGCATTTAGTGCTGCATAAGGTATTTCACGTTTTTCCTTACAGTTCCTACAAGTCCAAAATTTAAACTCTTAAGGAATTCAGAACACTCTCAGCCAACTCTAATTAAACCATTCATCTACTGAAAGCAGGGGTAAGGGGAGAAGAATCCCCAAACCAAAAAAACAAATAGGTGTGGTTCCAGCTGTGAGCTGTCCTACACTGAGGACCGGTCTACAAAATGCCTACAGTAGCATGGCATTACCGTTTGTAAGCACCTGAAAGGGGCATCATTCTCTCACTGAGATGCTTCAGTGTCCTTAGCTACCAGAACAGGGAACATGCCAACTAATGTGGCCTTGTTTGATGTCCTGATTCAGTTGTCCTGGCTGTGGTGTGCAGTTACTGCTACAGGTTCATCTGATGGTGGTGATGAGGTAAGCTTCAGCAGAAAACCGGATTTAAAGCAGTTATCTTTGATTATAAGCCTGAAAAACTGTATCTTCCCCACGTAAATGCTGAGTATGTTTTACTCTGCTCCCTGCCTATGGAGAAGCAGAAGCAGCATGCAGAAGCATAGCCTCTGCTCTGTGACGTATGAAGAATAACACATTGACATTTGTAGGCTACCAGAGATCTCCCAGCTCAGGAAGGAGACATGCCCTGCCAACACAGGCTGAATTACTGAGATGCTTCTGAGTGTTTTACCCACCACATACCCTACCCTCTCCAGCAGAAGCAGATCAAGTGCTGGAAAAAATCTGCCCAGACTAGAGAAGTAAGCAATATTACTCTGTTTACGGCTTTGAAGCTCCAGCGGACTTGTTGATTTTAACCCTGTCTGATCACAGCTTGGTCCTTTCAGCAATGCTGCTGTTCGTTTTAAAGAAACAGATTTCTTTGAGGCAAGCTGGGGCTTCAAAGCAGTAAACGGATTATTTAACTTATACTCTCCAAAATAAATACCTGCCAGCAACTTAAAACTTCATATAAGGAGTACACTAAAACAGTCAAAACAATGAATTTATATTGTCATTTAAATGCATAGCACAACCTCCTCCTCCCAAATGGGCATTTTCCCCATACACTGTAGTATTCCCACAAATAATTACCACTTACATACATTTTTAATTTGCTTGAGAACTGGGTACTTCAGCCCAATTTTGTCACAGATTACTCAAATTCAACGCTGAGAATCTTTGAGTGTTAGGTTACTGTGTCTGGATCACAGTAAATTTCTGCAAAAAAAAAAAAAAACAAACCTAAAAGCCCTGAGGCCATCAGCGGTTCTTTCTTTGGTATGTGTAATTAAGTCAAAAGTTCAGCTATTCAGAGTTCAAATACTCCATTCTTTAGTCTTATCCCAGGTATTCAGCTGAAAGCCCTCAGCACCTTCACACTGTACATGTTGAGAGGCCATAGAGCTGTAAATATAGCTGATCCTGTAACCAGCCCAGATGAAGTTTTTGCTACAGGTTTGGAAGCAAAAAAGGATTTTCCTTTACAGCATATGTGTGCATTTCACATACAAAATGAGATTATGCTGGATTTGGCAGGATTCGTCTCAGTGGTTTTAGCCACTGTAGATGTCTATACGTGAGCTTGTGGCCACAGACTGGCTTAGCAGTCAGTAAAGCTGCTTCAGCAACTCTGCTTGGAACCAACTGGTCCCTCCAGCCAAGGAGGGCCCTCCCAGCATCGACAATCCCCGCTTCCAGAGGGACAAGCTCTGAACACCCTACCGAGGCTGGCAAGTTACATTTGGTCTGGCCATCATTTCAACGTATAAAAAGAAGCTGCTCCTTAATTTTAGCAAGTACTTCCTCTAACATGCAATGTAAATGCATACATTGATTAACATACACCCTTCGGTTGCCCTACCTCTCTGAAATCCTCTCTCTGGCCCCTTTCTGACAACTATTGCTCTCAGTGATTGTTTTTGTGGCACACTTTCCTGAAGCCACTTTCCTTCTGCGTTGTTCACCTGGGGCTAGATACACAAAGGGACAGAGATAACCAAACTCTTAATTGCAATGCAGTGTCCAACTCAATGCACAGAAGAGCTATGCGCCTACAGAGAGTCATGGCTATGTGCCTATAGGCAAGTATGGACAGATAAAAAAAAATGTATTTTCAGTGATAAACTGCCCTTGGGCCCATTCCAGGCTTAAAACCTGCATGCAGCAATTAGGACAGTAACTTGACAACACAAGCTAGCTTACCTTGAACTTCTCAAGACTATATTCTAGATAAAGCAGTAATTATAATACTGGAAAATACACAGTTTTCCTGAGCAAATGCAGCCTGTGCAATATGGAGAAGGCTACAGTAGCTTCATCATGGTCCATAATATCTATTAAAGAAGATTTAAGGAGGATGAGGAAGAAGACTATCCAATCCAAAAGACAAAGGTATCAAAATAATCAGTTACTATAAAACTAGATGTATTTAGATTACATGGACACACAAATCTATATAGCAAAGTTAATTTATTAATGGGATGGCTTTAAAGATTCCCTTTGCTGGGAATTAAGGAAGTCTGGTACGTAAACCAAATCTAGGTATGCTATTATTAAAAAAATTGATTGATTTACTACAGTTCTGGTTTTGTTCTACAGGAAGTCAGATTAGATGATCACAATGATGTCTTCTGGACTTTTGTCTTAAGTTCCTTAATCTGAAAAGTGTGTACATACCTAGAAAGTTACATAGCTGGTCTTCCCAATGATATCTAGAAGCCTACCTCGGACACCAACTAATCAGCTACTTCAGACAACAGAAAACACTGAAGACAGGTATATCTCTGAAATTATTCCTCATATAGTCCTTCCAGAAGGAGCCTTCATCTGTGTGGAGCCTGCACCCATTTCTGCCAATGCTTTTCAAAGAAAGGAGTTTTATCAATGACTGCTTTAACATGAAATGTGTATGTCATTCCAGCAGCCAAGCCTCAGAATCCCACTCCCTGGATGACTGTCCCCATCACAGAGCGCAGAGCAACTGTGGCGCAGTTCTCCCTCTGTGTCTCATTTCTGCACAACATCAGAGCTTCAACAACAAGGGCAGCAAGCGACCCACCCACAGAAGTCAAAATGAATCATTCTGGACACCCTCATGGGAGGAGGGAAGATGGATTTGCACTCCCTTGGGCAGAGGAAGGCACGGTGTGTCTCACCAATGTCTCGTTGCTATGTCACTGCCTGGATCACTGCTCTGAGTACAGACTGTCAGTTGACAGGTAAAGCACCTCAGGCCTTAGGAAAAGCAGTCAAACTGAAGCCTTCCCAGTCCTTCCAGTACCCCCTGGGCTGCACACACTGCAACTGCCAAATCAGATCCCATGCCCCCCTAGCATCCATGTGAAGCGATGCCTTCTCCGAGAGCGACCCTTCTGGGAATGCTCAGTGCTATAAAATAAGCAACCAGAGCACATTCAACCATTAGTGGTGCTTCACCACCTTCAGGGCATCTCTGAGAAACAACTACCAGCCAAGCAGGACTTTTCAGGGACAAAACTCTGCTCTGGCTGGGCAAAATTTAGGCTCACACACTCAAGTTGTTCAACCAGGAGACCCCTTCAGTCAGCTGCTGCCTAACCCTGGAGACACCCCAACACCGTCTCTACACTGAGGTCAATGGTCCATGCAAATGACCCACCAACAGCAGGGGCTAGAGACTTCCTCACCAGGCTGGGCCAGAACCACACTCTGAAGGGTAGAAAGCCTTAATGTGTGCCTTTTCATGGGAGTTTCAAGGCATTGAGCTTGCTTGGCTGCAGCTGGGGAGGCCGGATTCTACCTGCAATTTGCTCAAATTCCTACTAATCTTTTTCGGTTGAAAAAAAGCTGGGGAGGAGGGAGGGGGATGGCATCAAAAGGGAAAGAAAACCCACAGCAATACAGAACAGTTTAAGGTTCATTAGAAGCACCGCATACGGTGAAGCTGCTATTATTTAGTCTTTAAATATTTAAAGACCAGCTTACTCTACACAGCTTACAGTACTTGAACGATTCCTCATTTATCACTGAAAAATATACAGTGCAATCCTCCGTGGTTGCAAAGCCAATATTGAATATGCTATCTATTTTACCATCTAGACAGGATCCAATGTGAAAAAAAATACAGATTTTCTTCCTATTTGAATTAGAACTGATGAACCATAAGTACATGTGGTATTCATGTCAAAGTAAGAATAAGCCCCTCTCTAATTTTATTTTTAAGGTCTTTTGCTCCTAGGAAACATGAATATGGAATGACAGACATTTTTTAAATGAAATATGGATTGCTAGCACTTGGGTAAATTTGAGCAAGGCTCATATATTGAACAGCATTAGCCAAATAATAATTCAGGGGGTCTGTTTCATTGTATTTTATAACAGCAACTGCAAAGTGAAGCACAAGTTCAAGCTTTTTCTACAGTTCAGCTTTTAAATTACTAATAGAGAAAGCAGCTACCACACATCACACAAGCGCTTTAAAACCGTTAATGAACTACAGCTGAACTCTAGAATTCAGCTTAAATTATTTTGTACAGTGCACCAGTACCTTTGGATGGGAAACAAAGTCAACCACCTGACGTGAACCTCATTTCCCAAAAAGGAAATAAACACGAAGGCTTGGTTCATTGTACTACTCCTGCTCATACAACTGGATTACAGAGAAGCAGTGTCATTATCCACGTGTTCAAACAGATGAATAGCATGGTGAGCCAAGCAGTACCACATTTATGTACCCCATGAGCTCTAAACCAGAATGAAACACACTAAAAGGTAGTGAGAATGCCCTAATTGAGCTTCTGAAATTATTTATCTTTAGTGAAGGCTTGGGGTTAGAAGTACATTTATACCCTCTGCTTTACTGGAATGAGTGTCATACGGCTTTACATACAAAGCAGAACCAGGCAGAAGCATGGATATGGTGCTGGTTTAGCATCACTTTCATTAGTTTTCTATGAAAACCAGAATACTCTCAGTTTTGTCACCTAGTATAATCACAAACCAAGGCTTGTTCACTGAAAAGTCATATCTGACTTTTATTTGGGCAACGGGGGCATGGCTAGTTACATGTACTGTATCATCCCCTGGAGACACTGACCAGAGCTCTTTTCCTCAAGGTAGTGGAATACACCAATATGATAAAATAAAATCTCATCTTTGAAGAGCCTGCCAACTGAATAAAAAGATTAAACCTACCTTCAGCTAACAACCCTTTTCTGAATCCTTAATAAATTTTTGTTCTCAACTTCCATCATAAAAGCTTCTCCTGCCACAAACTTTGCCTTCATAATTACCTGTATCACATTTCCTTCAGTTTCAATATCTATTCTCACTACAGGACTTGCAGTGTACTTGTTATTTTGCAGGCGAGGCACTTCTTTAAAACTTGATGTTTCAAGCTACTTTACTATTTGGCACCAGACAGAACTTTGTGGAAAGCCTGAACAGCAACAGTTCCACAGATGTGGAAAACCATTTCTTGGTTTGCTGTGGTCAATGAAGGCATTTTCACTTGCATGTATACAATCATATTCCCATTAATCAACGGAGTGGCATGACACCCTAGGTTCTGGAAGCCAGATTTCATCAATGACATCTTTATAACACTATTGGGTGGTCCATGATTCAGTATTACAAGAGATCAGCTATGTAAAATGTTTGACCATAAAGTGACTGACAGTCTAAATGCATACGAAGCTTTACAGCACAGTTGAAAAAATGCGGTAAAATAGAATATTTTGGAAAAAAAAATGTTTGGGAAAAAATATAATTTGGGGAAAATATGTGTTTTGTTCTGTCAAATATCTTTTGTTCTGTCTTTAGAAAAAAACAACTACAAGTACAAAGCCAGATCTCAATTTCAGGATTCATCTGCTCTTACCAGCTGCTGATTGAGAAGAGAGAAGAATCAAGTAACGGCAGCCCGTGAAACATACCCCTAGCGAGTGCGAGTAATCCCCGGATCCCGAGTTGGTTTGGTGCAAGCAGCGGTACTCCCCGAGATCGCAGCGGCTGCCCCCGAGGAGGCAGCAGAAACCGCGCTCCCCTAAGGAACGAACCCTAAACCCGGGACACGTAACGCAGCCTCACTTAAGACAAACCCCTCGGGAGGGGAAGAGGAGGGCAGCGAGCCCCGCTTCTTCGTAACGGGGACACGGTGACGCTCTCCAATTTCCAGCCAAGGCTGGACTCAGGCTCTCCGGTCACCACCGCCGGGCCGGAGCGGACCGCACGGGCGGGGCGCAGCGGAGAGCAGCGCGCTCCTCCGCGGTGGGCTGTGCTCCCGCTCGCCCGGCGTTGCCCCCCAGCCACGCAACCCCCGGAGCCACATCCCCCCCAGAAGGTCTGTCCCCTCCGCCGCCCAGGCCCGAAGCGGGTGTCCCCGAGGAGCAGAGGGGTGGGAGGCGGCCCCGGCTCCCCCCTTACTCCCGAGCAGAGAGGAGCAGGAGGGTGCTCCGAGCGCCGGCTGACTGGACAGCGCCTGCGGGGGGAAGGAGGCGGGGGCAGCGCCGGGGCTTCAGCCCGCCCCGGCACAGCTCGGCACGGCCCCAGTCCTGCCCGCGCGCTTTACCTGCACCGCACCCTCGGAAAAGTTTGGCGGCCGCCCGGACGGGACGGGCTAGAGCCATCGCTCCTTTCCTCGCCGCTCCCAGCACCGCGTCCCGCCGCGGCCACCGACCCGCCGCTGTGACTAAAATAGGCAGAACCCGGCGGGAGGCTGCGGGCGGCGCCAGCTCCGGGGCAGGCACCGAGCGGCCTCAGCGCGCAGGCGCCTCCCGCCGGCCCCCGGGGGCTGCGGGGCAACCCCCGCCGAGGTGAACCGAGCCGTGCCCAGGCTGGGGCAGCCGAGGCGGCGGGAGCTGCCGTCAGTCCCGCCGCGCCCCTCCTCCTGCGGCGGCCGCGCTCCCAGCTTCCCCGCCACCCCGCGCTGCCGGTGAGCGCCGAAGGCGTCGGGGACGGGGGGAGTTGGGGGCAGGCGGGGAAGAAGGAGGCGGCGCCGGTGGCTGCTGCGACCCCTCCGGGCGGGCAGAGCCCGCGCCGGTGCCGCCGCTGAACTTGGGCACCGAAGAACTGTCAGTGGGTGCAGCCCAGGTGTTTGGTTGGGACTCGCGCGAAAAACCCCGCCGCTCTTGGGGCACGCCGGGAGGGGCGTCTCCTTTGGTACCGCTGCCTCGGGTTGCGTTGTGTGGAACCAGGGGTTTGGAATAAGTCAACGTGCAGTTTTCTGGTCTTTCACCCACCCACCTCAGCAGCACGTTCTTCAGGAGGGAGATACATGCCTGCAGGGTTGCCCTCATTACGTGACTGATGCATCTGTTGATACACGGAATTCAGTTATTTCGTTTCAGTACAAGCAAATGCCTCACCAAGAATACAGTTAGAAGTGCTCGTACTGTGTCAAAACATAAGGCTTTCGGCGTACGAGCCACGCATTTGATGATTGCCTTGTGTCTCCGAGAGAAGTTATTGACTGAGGGAGACAGACTTACAAGTTGCTAATATACAAAAAATCACGGCATATTAAATGCGCAGCTCCTGTTACAACAGAAGCTGTTTCGCAATAACTGGAGCATGCCAGTAATCTCTTGTAAATAGCAAGTGGGGAGGACCTAGTGTGCTTGCTGGTGGCAGGCTCTGAGATCCCATGGTAGGCTGAAGGACAGGCTCATCGCACAGCAAGGCAAGGCAGGGCAACACGCTGATGTGCATTTCTCCGGCAACAACAGGACAGAGCAACCTGTCGTGCTCTGGACAGAAGGATCAGGGCTTTCCTTAACACCTTTATGAACTTGCTTCCCCAAGAGGTTTTTTAATTCTCAAAATTTTAAACTCCGTATTTACCAGGGAAGAAGATGCATAAATTTCTGAAGCAACCAATTCTCCTAAAACTTGAGAAAACAAAGAGCCAGAGAAGTATAACCCGGAGCTACCCGGGGTTACATCTATCCAAAATATCATTATCTGATTGCAGCACTTTATTATTATTATTGAGAGAAAAAAAAGTCTTTTTATAAATCTGACCAAGTATGTGTTAAGGTTCTTGTAGTTACTTAAATATTTAAAGGGTTTTTCTGTGTGGCGCCAAATATTTACCTTTCAGACATGCTTTGCACATGATATTTCATGACTTCTTTAAGTTTAGCAGTATGGTTTGAGGGATTTCTATACTGGCAAACCTGAGGCAGTGCTGATTTACTTTTTTTTTTCTAGTTTTTGTTCTTTGTACTTGTGTGGAGTTGAAAGCACTCAGATTTATGCCTAGTTGCATTAGGCATAAATTTACCCACTATATTTACTCTTCACTGGGATGATAGTGATGGGATGGGAAAATACATAATAAACAAGGATCCTAACATTTTTTTATTTGACCTACTTATCTACTGAGATTACAGTATTCTAATAAACCATTATTACATAAATTAAAATATGTTCCTTTTAATCATTGTAAAAGAAGCATTAAACTTTTGTTGGCATATCTGTTTGTACTTAGTTAGAACCAGTGGTCATCATAATTCTCCACAGACACATAGGTCACCAGGGAACAATTTTACCATAATAATTTTTATTACAATTCAATCAATTCTACATCAAATATCCTCTAGCATGCTAAGACTAAGGCTACAAATGACCTTCTCAATCTAGCCTTGAAAAACAGGCTTGGATAAGAGATTCAGGAGAGGCAATAAAGAAATGACAAAGCCACCACACACTGTCCACAGTGTAGCACTGGGTAGCACTGCCCAGCGTGCTTTGACCCACCCACTTGAGCAGTCAGGCTACTCCCTGATGTATTTAAAACTGCTTGTGTTAAAATGTCTATTTTTAAAGTATCTATTTTTAAAAGGTCAAATAAATAATAAATGTAAACCAAAATTAAAACCAATATTATTATTTGCAGCAGCATGGCAAGATAGAAAGGTCACGCTTAAAGGTAGGCTTACCAGAGAGACTGTGGCGAGACTCATAAATCCAGTATCAGACTGAAAAGCTTTAGGAGGCTTTGTGGCCCTGGGTTGAGGGAGAAGCTCATCTGTGGCAAGTGTTCTGCATGGAGCCAGCTTGGGAAGGACAGCAGAAAGTGCAAGATTAGTTCCAGTTGGGCTGGGCAGGAACTTGAACACCTGAGCCAGTGTCTTTGAGCTAGTGCCACTGCTGAGACATGAAACTAGACAGTGTGAGTTTCTGGCTGGTTGTAAACAGCTCTCTTCTCATACCTGCCATTATATTTATTGGTGTACCTTAGATGCACCTATCTCTGGGCAAAATCCATCCTACGAGAAGTCTGATAGCTCCATAAAACTCTCAGATTGCCTTGCTGTTGGCTTCTTGACAGCCCTGCGTCCAGACACTGCTCTTAGGGTTGCTGCAGTCAAAGCAGGGTTACCCAAGCAGGCACCTGAAAGTAACCCCAGGGTGCTGGCACCAGACCTTCGCTTGGGTGTGCAGGTGATTTTCCCCAGACAGAGGAAGAAAAAACCTCAGTGTATGATTTCACTGTCTAGAAAACAGCTCCATCTATTTCCTCAGTAACTGCGTAGGGAGGGACTTACAGCAGATGGTTGCCTTCTCCATTGTCTCTGAAGTGAAGCATCATGATGTACTTTAGGAGAAGTTATAAATGACTATGTTTAAGGGAGAGACTTTTCATATTTTCTTAGACTTCTTAAATGTTCAATAAATTCCCACTGCATTTTTCCTTTCCCTGCATTGTCCTTGGTCAATAAAAATAAGTTATGAAGCAGGGGGATATGGTAGCAGGTGACATGATGAATTACCTCTTTAAGAAGTGATGTGCTTTTCCTCTGTGGATATAATAGTGTACTTCCCAGGTAGTTGTGAGAGTCTCTTGTGTAAGAGTTCTTAGTCATTTTGGAATGAGAAGTAAACTCTTTATGTACTTTGAAAAGGTCTTAGCAGACTTTGGCATAGCTGAATTCTGCTACAGAAACCTCTCCCTTTATTTGTGGCTATAATTGAAGTAAGAAGAATCACAATTGCATTTGTGTAGTAAGTTAGTTTTTAAAATTGAGATATCAACCAAGTCATGTCATAACACAATATAATCCTGTAATTCAGATCATACCCAGCCTGCAGAACTGAGCAAAATTCAAATTGGAAACCTTTCTTAAAATGTCATTCAATTAACAGCATTCACTGTCAGGTACAGATAAAATAGTTTTAATTTAAGCAAAAGGCTTTTTTTTAAATCCGTATAATAAAATGCTAAATACTACATTTAAGTTTTTATCTTTTCAGTTTTAAAGGCTTTCAGATAATAGACTTGGAATTAAGTATCCTCAGCTGCAGTTAAGGTGGAGAGCCCTAGCTGCTTTTCCACCCAGGTTTCCATAAGCAAGAGTGTGGGAGATACAATTCTCTGACCAAGTGACTTCACACCGTGAAGCAGCTGATCACAGAGGAGGATTATTCTGGAAACTGGCTCTTCCCGACCTGAGCTCACGTCAGACACCAGCATCTAGAAGAGATGGAAGAAATAGCCAGCATAGGATTTAGCTGTAAGAAAAATATGCAAGCCCCAGTCTGTGGCTGCTGCTTCTAGAGATGCTTAAATTCACACAGTAAGTGCTTTAGGTTTGTAGAGGGCCCCCCCTCTGCAGTTTCTGCATGAGCCAGGGTTGCACTTGCCACAGCTCAGTCACTGTGCTAGACCATGACAGAGCCAAGGGCGTGCTTAGAGCCTGCTTCTCTCATTCTGCACAAAGTTCAGCTGCTATCAGACGTAGGAGCCAGAGAAAGGTCCAAAATTCCTATGGGCCAAAAAGACAGGTGCAAGAACCATGTGGGTTGAAAGCCTAGTGCGTAGGACACTCAGTGTGGGAAAGACCTGCACTTTCTTAAGACTGTTTTCACTTTGCAGTTAAAACAGTTTAATGCCAAGTACAGAAACAAACCTGGAAACTAGCACTAAAGCTGGACTTTGTGCCAAAACCAGTGCCCCATAGCATCTCTGCCTCACTCAGATACACCCCAGGAATGCTGAGTATGTCCAGGTGTTCAGAAGCCAGCAAAAACAGCATGGTAAATGTATTGCCATACAAGCATACAAAATGTCAAAAAAGATATGTGGACTTGAATTTTTCTAGACCTTTAGCTACTTGCATGGGAGCTTTAACCACAAGACTGTTAGGTAAAAGGTTGACTGTCCACACAGCCCATGTGGCTCTGATGAGATGAGGTGCTTCACTGGGCTGACCTTTGCATCACTACAGAGCCGTACTTCAGTCCATCCCTCAAGTGAAGTGTCTGCTCAGGAGTGACAGTACAGTTAAAAATACAAACTGTAAATCTAAAATCTCTTCAAAGCATTATGTAACTGTGGAAGATATCAACTGTGAAAAGGAAAAGGTTATGTTACCGTCAGGTGAACAAAGGAGATGCTTTCCAGCACAACTGTTTAAAGACTCTTCAGGCGTGGCTTTTGTTACAGTATCTGATATTCTCTCTTGCTGAAATTCTAAGCTGTCATCAACCTCCTACTAGATATTGTTGGAAAAAGGAAGGAAACCTGTAATTCCCAGACTAATCTTTCATGTCCAGTATCTCAGTAAGTTGCATAATGTTTCCAGTAGCTCTTAGATTTTTGCTT